TTAAAAACCTTCCACAGTTCATAATACAAAGATGCATTTCCAATTAAAGATATTTTAAAAGGTTACTCTTTATGTTTATACCTTTAAAATGTGAAGAAGTTATTTCTTTGAGAAAAACATAGGTTGTGGGTGGTGCCTGAGGCTCAAAGAAGTAGGGTGCTGGCCCCATATGCCAGAGGTGGCAGGTTCAAACCCAGACCCAGACCCAGCCCCAGCCAAAAAAACACAGCTTATACACTCCATGAAGAGAATCACCACTATGGATACTTGTACTTGTTTTCACTGAAATTAACTCCAAATGCAGTCTAATTGGCAGCCTATGTGTACTTTACTGACTTCTCAAAACTTTCACATTGTGTTTTGAATAGTATTATGAAATCATCTTTCAACTTGAACTCTATGCTTTAGTCCCAGAGTTCCCATAGAACATTATTTAAATAAACAGTAGTGGTAAATTTATAATATTTTTATTCTTATTTCTATTTTGTGCTACTTTGTCTCTCCATCATGAGCCAAAACTAAAAAGAGTAAAAAGAAATTCACAATTCCTTTCTATTTTTATCCAACTAAAGAAAATCGTTGCCATATGATCTATACCATAAGAAACAGAAAGGCAATGATGTGGGACAATGATTCTGTGTCCTTACCTACACCTATGTGAGGCAGGTGCTCAAAAAGGGTCCAGCTGTGGTCATCAATGTAGTGATTCTTCAGGATCAACAGCTGACAAACATCTCGGGCTGTTATGTCACTGGGTACATCTAAAGCCCTGCTGGTTTCATCTTCACTGTATACTTTAATCACCTGTGTAAGTAGAAACAAGAAAAAGACCTAAAGCAGCATTGTGACTGTGTTTTTCTATAAAGTTAATTATTTATAAAGGAAACAACATGATGTCATGAGATATGCAGACAAAAAATTAATTAACATAATGATGTAAATTAATATACCTGTCATCTCCCCACTGTTTACATGTTTTTTATGTGTGGCAAGAGCATCTAAAATCTACTCATTTAGCAGAAATCCCAAGTATAATACAGTATTATTGACCGTGACCCTCATGCTGTACATCAGATCTGTTCCTCCCGCATCTCTCTACTCTGCACCTTTTGATTTGCATCTCCCCGTTTCCCTCCACTTCCACCCTCACCTCTGGTAACCACTGTTTTATTCTCTACTCTGTACATTTGACATTTTTTTTAGCTTCCACCTGTGAGATTATATAACATCTTTGTTTCTGTGTCTGGCTTATTTCACTTAGCATAATATCTTACTGGTTCATTCATGTTGTGACAAATGACAGGGTCTCCCCTTTTAAGGCTAAATAATATTCCAATGTAGATGTGTATAATTTAAATATACAATGTATTCAATATTTATGTATGTACACACACATGCATATAGTGTACGTATGTCACAGTTGCTTTGTCCACTCTTCCATCAGTGGGATAAGACATTTAGGCTGTTTTCGCATCTTGGCTGTTGTGAACAATGCTGCAGTAAACATATGAACACAGATGTCTCTATGACAGACTGATTCAATTCCTTTGGGAATATTCAAAAGAAGAATTGCTGGGTCAAATGGTAGTTTTATTTTTAATTTATTTAGGAATCTCCATACTGTTTTTCACAATATTATATCAATCTATGTTCCCACCATCAGTGAAGAAAAGTTGCCTTTGCTCTATAACTTCACCAATGTTATGTCATGTTTTTTTGATGATAGTATCCTATTGGGTGTGAAGTGGTATCTCATCCTGGTTTTGATTGGCATTTCCCTGCTGATTAGTGAGGTTAAGCACCTTGTCACATACCTTTGGCCACCTTTGCCTTCTTCGGAAAAATGTCTATTCAGATTCTAGCAATTTTTTTAACTGGATTATTAGTTTTTTCGCTATTAAGTAGTGTGATTTCTGTATAGATTTTGGATACTCACCCTTATAATCATATATAGTTTGCAAGTATTTTTCCCAGTCTATAGGTAGTCTTGTAATTAAAATGTTCTATTAAAAATATCACTCTAATAAGTCAACAAACTTATTGGTTGACTCGACTATAAGTTATTTACACAGTGTTTTGCACATTCAATGTTATCATACACTGAATGAATGCTCCCTATTCAAGACTTGTTTACATATCAATGTCACTGTCCAACAGTTTCCACTCTCTCATCAGTGTCTAAAGACCATTCAGTAACTATTTAATATCATCTCCTACCACTCTGATCTATGAAAAGCTATGTATTTCTTAGTAATATTTTAAGTTTCATATTCCATATTTAAATCCCATAAATAATTCAAAGTAACATGAGTAATATATTCCCAGATATACCCAAGTAGTAAAAGTAGGGAATAGAATCAGACTTTACAAAGATTTTCAGGGACGGAAATTTGTGTGAAAACTAGCTAAATGTTCACAAAACCTTTTTCTTTCCTCCCTTGCAAATAGTTGGGGCTACGGGTTTGAGTTCTAAGTAGTGGAATGCAAGTACATAGAACATTGCACCTCCAAGCTCAGAAAATCCCCCACATATTGTCCTCCATTCTCTTTTGCCACTCTGCCACTGAATGGAATGGCTACCAGGCCCCGTGGGGGGAAAAAAAAAACAGGACAGAATGAGTCTCTGTTCCTAAATGACCACACTCAAAGTGCCTAACTAAGAGCACCATGTGGGACTCTGATATGAGCAACAAATAACCTTCTATGGTGTTAACTCACTGTGAGTTAGGATTAGATCTATTAGGGCAGCTAATATGACCCTAAATTATACAGAATTAGAGTTTCGTATAAAACACTTTCCTCAACATTTACCAAGCTGTGCTAGAATTTCCATTACTAATTGTTATGTTATATATTTTTATATATGTTACACATAATTATATTATATATAATTTAGTTAATCACAGAACGATAAATTCCTATCACAATAGTAGAGTAAGATCAACAAACATATCCACAAAACTGGAAAATGACAAGAAAGTTGATGTATCCATTCAGTTCTACATTTTTTTAAATTACACTTAATGACAGTGTAATGAAACAATTGCCCTCTTATAATGACAGGGGGTGATAAAAAGTAGTAAAACTATCCCCAAGTTGTGAACATCTGACTTACAGACATTTCGCACTTAGAAAAGGTGGCCATTACAGTAAGTTCCGGAGTTGTAAACATCACGGTACTAGGCAAATGTACCTGTTCCAACTTAAATACAAATTCAACTTAAGAACAAACCTACACAACCTCTCTCATTTGTAACCCAGGGACTGCCTATATTCCTTCAGCTCAGTAATTTTTCATAAGCCAATTATCTCAATAAAATCTGTCCTAAATGTGGAAAACAGCTTTAGGCATTAAAATGTCCAGCAATGCTTTTTTTTTTTTTTTATGATTCTGTTAAATCAAACGTTCAACAATGAAAGAATCGTAAACTACAGCACTGTCACAGAATGGAATAGTACATAGGCCTTAAAAATGGTGTTCAAGGAAACGATACAAGACTGTTTAAAAATTAGAGAGTCTGGTTGGCTTTGGCAACCAGATGCTTAGCACCCACCCTCCTCTTCTGACAGCATTCTGATCTCCTTTTAGAGCCCCACTCCCTCCCTCAACCAGCAGCCCCCGTGCTCTGGCAGCTCTACCCGCAGTTCAGTGATATGTGCTGGAGCTGCTGGAACTGGCTTCCAAGAGCTGACTGGTGAACTCTCAGGAGCTGTGCCAGCCAGGCAGCTCCGCTCCACCACAGAGGGGGTGCTCATGCCACAGCCACGGGTAAATGCTACCTGTAAGGTCTTTTTCAGATTTTTATTTTTAGAGCCAGGTTACCAGTGCACCTACTGCCTCCGATCTTGAGTGTTTTCTAGATTGACCAACTAGCACCTGCAGCCCTCCAGACAGCAGTGATGATTTCCCAGGTGGGCATGTGACCTAATCAGAGCCCATCAGAACCACTCTATATCCTCGGTTATCTGTTCACACAACCACAGATTACGTGGGCTGTCTTCTCTACTGGACCTAACTAAGCTCATGAAGCTGTGGGCTGGAGATGCTGCTGTTCACAAAGAGAGCCACTGAGGGCAAATGGTGTCCACGGACTGAGTGCAGCCCTCCAAAATTCACGTGGTGAAACCCTTATTCCAAAGTAATAATATCTGAAGGTGGAGCCTTTGCAAGGTAGTTAGGTCATGGGGGAAGAGCCCTCGTGAACAGAATTAGTTAGAATTAATCTTTTATGGGACAGATCACTGTGATTCTATTCAAATAAGACAAACACTTGCAAACCCTTCATTATTAGTTGCATGATTGGTTCCCTCTGTCTAGAAAACGCTTCAGTGCTCTGCCCTCCAACGTGCTTTCTTTGGCAACTTCCTACTTAATGTTTGGCCCCAGTTCCAATGGCACCGACTCCAGAAGGTTCCCTGACAACCCAATAATGGGCATCTCTTATGAGCCCTTATTTTTTAAATTTCTGTTTGCACGTCTTTCTCCACAAGGATTCTAGCAAGCTCTTTCAAGGAAAATCTCTCTTTATTCATTGTTTATCACCATTTATCACTGTCTCTCAGGAGCCTATCCCAGGGTGACACATAATTTAATAAAAATCTGTGGAGTGAAGGAACTCCATACCACCTACCTTAGTGTTTTGTACATAGTAGACACTCAATACCTACTTGAAAATTTAATTTAAAAATATTTTCTCAGGGCGGCACCTGTGGCTCACGGAGTAGAGCGCTAACCCCATATACCGGAGGTGGTGGGTTCAACCCTGGCCAAAAACTACAAAAAATAAAATAAAAAAGAAAGAAATATTTTCTGCTTTGGAGTTCATAATTACTTAAAATTTCTATGCTCAGGAAATTAAAATTCTTCTCAATGAGGAAGAGACATACAAGTTTCATCACAAATATCCTGAGGTAAAAACTGAGTCAATATGGCAGTTCTGAGTTTTAAAGTTATTGAGAAAGGTCATGAAAACACGTTGTCAAGATCAGATGTCTCTGAATTTTCTCTGAAGTTTCACTTTGATTCATGTATTTCTGGGTGAAAACATACAGTCCACTGTGATGCTGAGATGTATTTGGAGTCTCAAGAGTTCTGACATTGGCCTTTCCGTAGGCGACTGTTCTCAAGAATGTGTCTTCAGTATTTGCATCTGTGGCAGAATTCTGAGCGGTGCTGCTCTGGTTACAACTGAGGGAACCAGGCACTGGCAGACATTCTGCTGAAAGCAGTGTGCTCATGGCCACTCCTGAGGGGACCGAGGGTCTGCCCCGGGACTGCTCCTTCACCTGGAGCAGCGATGAGTCCCTGTTTCGGTTCTCTGCTGTACACTCCTTGCCAGGAAGGGGGAGGGGTGTGAAGAGTGACTTCATCACTGCTGAACAAGTTCTCCGCACCCCCAGCTACCCCCATGTGCTCTTTCACAGTAAACTCTCGTCCCCTGGGCTAACAGAGGCACGCCTCGTATTTTGCATGCTCGGTCTCTCATTTCAGAGAAGCTAAGAAAATGGAAAACTAGAGATATTCCAAAGCCTAAGTCAAATTCAAAAAGGAGGCAAGAACAGAACGAGAGGTAAAGCTGAGGAAAATGAGAAAGGCAACTACACAGTCAAGAAATGCCATGATTTTGTTCAGATTGTGTCACTGGTGAATTCAGAAATAAGTTGCCAAGAATTGAAGCACACACACTGAGAGCAGCGAGGCTGCCTTCAAGTTCTGCAATAGACGCATGTGTTCGTTATAAATGAATAACGCCTGCTAAGAGAAAAACTCAAAATACCTCTGTTTGAAATCCATGTCAAGTCCT